AAACATGATAATTTTTTAAAGAAAAATGAAGTAAAAGTTTTTAACTATTAATGTAAAACTTAGCTCACTAAACACCCATTGGTTTAGTAAAGGAAAGTAAGTAGGATTTCAAGCAATCCGGTAAAAGCAATATATCATTACACAATTTTCACACGGGCTATTTGGTCAGCCGAGTTTGACAAAACGCCTTTGTCATAGGCGAGAAAAAATTACAATTTTTTCCACAAGGACGACCTCGTAAGCTTAGGTTGGATAAATCCAACCGACTGGTAATCCTCTCGAAAAAGCCGAATCCAATTTTTTCCCCTGGAAGAAAATAAACATGTCGACTGTGTAGATTGTAAATGTCGATGTTTGTTTATACCCCACCCTTTAACGATCGAGAGGAAATGACGAAATGATCTCTTAAGGCGAAATAAACTCTTTAAGACACTCATGGCGTTGACACTCATGGCGTTTCTATCGACTGGTAGAAAGCATAAAGGTGGGGTGAGTATGCTGTTTAATATCTTTAAAAACATAGTTTTTACTCATAGTTTTTGTTTTGAACAATCCGAATTTCAAGCCTTAAAGCTACTAGTAACTCTTTCAATCTGATGATGAGATGTAAAGCTTGAAATCCACATTGTTGGAAACAAAAAACTATGAGTAAAAACTATCTTTTGAAGATATTTCGATTGACTTATGTGAAGATATTTTCATATGAACATAAATGAATCAGTCGTTTAAATTAAAAGGACTTGATAAACCAGAAAAAACCCTCAAATAAATGTACAGCCTGAAAATAAAAACTTGTATTATTTGTTTTTCCAAAAGTTTGATTTCTTGGACATGACGTGTTTCTGAAACTAATGATTTTTATTTTATTTGTTTATTTTTTTGTTGTAATTTTTAGTAAAGGTTACGATTTTACATTTGAAATAGAACATGTTGAATGTATACTTTTTTTCATGTTGGACGAAAAACTAACGAGTTTATTCTAAAAATCCTCGAACCTAATAACCCTTGAAAGACGAGAAGGGAGATAAATCACATGACTAAATATAATAAAAGAGTCCCCCTTATGATAGGTCGTTCGAATCGATCTGAAAAAAGCCACACCAAGTTCGACTGTGATTTCGTAAAAATAAACATCGTTCGGTAAAATCGTTGGAAAACTTGCAATATATTAATTGTTTAAGTTATTCCAGATGGCAAAAGACGTCCGCTCTTAAAGTTTTGGGTGTTAAACTGAAGTTACTGTGTTTTGCGGCTATAACGCAACATGTGAGAAGTAACTTTGGAATGTCGCAAGTAAAATTTTACAAGCATTTAACTTTCTCAAGAAAAAAATTAACAATTTGAAAATAAGTATATTTTGTAGACTTTATAACAAAACTTGTTTCTTTAACGTGAAACGAAACGACATGCACTTGGCAGTTTTATGCATCGTAATTATTTTTATACACATTTGGAATGACAAATAATAGAAACAGTTTGAAGTTCCTGAGAGGATTATAGTTATACAGTTATATTTATACAGGGTGTCCTTTTTAGATGGGCTGGCTGAATTTCTTTTGAACCAATGACGATATAAAAAAAGTCTTTAATATTTTTTAGTCTTGTTTCAAATTTTTACTTTTTTTGTAGAAAAATTGTACAAGATACCTCCGGCCCAGCGCAACTTCAAAATTTCAATTACGACCCTATACCTCCTGACACATCATTTTAAAGGATTTTTCACGCTGAAAACAATGCAAAATGCAATTAGATTTTAAATTAGTCCAACAATTACAAAGTTATCGCAAAACGAAACCGGCAGCCTAATTTCGACGGGGAGCTGAATATATTACTGTATGTTCGCGAAAATTTCTCTCTCCGAAATGTTGGAAGGGTTTTGGGCTTTTAAAAATATAAAATTAGAAATGTACTCCGTACTTACAATTTTAAGCCAATGATGGTACCAAAAAAATAAAAATTGCGTTTTAATCTAGGTTGTTGGTTATTTTTGTGAACTAAAACACCAATATTTGTATGCCACAGTATTGTCATTTTTAGATGTCCCGGCTAATTTCTCTTTAACTAATGTCGATACCAAAAAAAATGCGTTTTAATATTTTTAGTCTAATTTCAAATTTTTACCCTTTTTTGGAGAACAATTATACAGGGTACCTTAGGCCCAGTTCAACTTCAAAATTTCAAACCACCCTATGCATGTTGAAACATCATTTTAAAGGATTGAACCATCGTGCATTCGGATTTTAAATTGGTCAAAAAATGACAAAGTTATGAGAAAAAGAACTCGGTAGCGTAATTTTGACGAGGAGCTGAATTACTGCTGACAAATTATACAGGATACCACAGGCCCAGTTCAACTTTAAAATTTCAAATAAGACCCTATAAATCCTGACACATCATTTTAAAGAATCTTTTACGCTGAAAACAATGGTGCAATCGGATTTTAAATTGGTCAAAAAATGACGAAGTTATGGCAAAAACGTTGAATAAACGCATTTCGTTTGTTTCGATGCTAATTCCGATAATTTGCTTATTCGCTAAAGTAAACATTAATTGCCTTTATTGTTTACATTTTCTCAATGTTTGCCGAGTTGTACTTACAGAAATTTCCTGATCGCTCCAGAGTAAACCACAAAACGTTTATTCCGTTTTGTGTTTATTTAAACGTTTATTATTAAATCCGAGAATTTCGTACTCTTGCCATCATCAGATGGTTCACAGTATCAACGTTTGCTGTGGACTTCTCGGACATAATTTAATTGGGCCTTATTTCTACGAAAATAATTTAAATGGTGCTAAGTTCCACAATTTTTTGAAGGAGGTTTTACCAACACCCATGTGCCGATCTGTTGGCCTCCTCGCTCACCCTCATGCCTGAGCTACTGTTACACATAAAACTCCAATCACATTGCTTCCTTTTGTCCAGTCTTATCCAGGAACCAGTCTTATCCTCCATAACATCGATGACCTTTTTTGACCACCCATAACTAAGCCTTACATGTCTTTATCAAAATTGCTTTCGTTGACATAAATAATGAATTTTCCGTTTCTTTTGCATTCCCTAATTTTCTCTTTTTAAAAGTGCTCTCTCCTGAGCAATCTGCTTTGGGAGGGTTGAGTGTTTTTTATTGCTAAATCCAAGCCTTTTCAAGGTGTATCAAATACATTTTTGATTAACAGCCAAGCCATTAGGCTCATTCTTTTGATAACTATCAGGATATCTTTTTGTTATGCCCCCATATTTATTTTTGTTGCTGGTTTATTACGTTTTCTCGCAGGATAAGTATTTTTTACTATCTAATCAAACAGGCTATCCCCACACTTAAACTGGCTGCTGTTTGAGCAAAAGTAAAATTATCTTGCTCCCAGATCGCAAGAACATGTTAAGAAAATTGTAACGGGGATGTTATGACTCTATTTCATATCAATTTATTAGACCGTAGCTACAATACCACACTGGTATAACTGTGGTTTAACGCCAAATAAATCAGAATGGCTATTATGTAAACAGTCAAGTAATAGTGGCAATTTTCAATTTACCAATTAACTCTACTTGACTACACTGTGGGCCCATACAAATAACCAATGTCTACGCCAATCATAACCTAACAATCTCAGTTGAAGAACTGCGGCAAAGGATAGAATATTTTGGTCTATTCATCTCCCTTGACTCTATTACTATGAGCACGTCTGAAGAGTGGTTAAAAAGAGCAAACTTTTGCATCTTTACGCAAGGCAGGCATTTTGAAAAAATATGATTAATGCATAATTAACCAAATGAATGTTTTTTTTCTTAAAGTTTTACCAGAACTTTGTCATTTTGTGATCTTTTAAAATCCGATTGAAAGATTGTTTTCAGCGTAAAAACTCCTTTCAAATGATGTGTCGTATTGTGCCGTATAGGATCGTACTTGAAATTGAATTCTGAAGTTGAACCGGGCCTGAGTACCCTGTGTAATATTTTGTTTACAAAAATAAGGTAAAAATTTGAAACTAGACTAAAACATATTAAAAACTTTTTTTTATAACGTCATTGGTTCAAGAAAAATTCAGCCGGGCCATCTAAAAAGGACACCCTGTATTTATCCAATTAAAATACATATGAGGAACAGTGAAAATAACTTCATCAATCAAATTTTTAAACTTTTTAGAGGACATAGCTTTATATTTAAAAATAAATTTTCCATCTCTGAGAAATGTTTTTAACCTAAGAGTCAGTTAGTCAAAACTTTTCTATAATTAGGAATATAAAAAAATCCACAGTTTTCGTTTAAATTTAAAAATTAAGTGTAAATTAATTCATTAACAGCGAAATAAAATCAAAACATTCTCTCTTTTTAATCAAATTTATTTATAATCAATTGGCAATATGTTTGCCGATAATGAAATATTGTATGAGTAATTTTATATAATTATTTTAAATTTTTTTTTAACAATGTTTAATAATAATAATAATAATAACAATGTCAAAACTTTGGGATTGTTATTTGAACTGGGAAACTTCCGGGGTTTGTTTTCTGTGTAGGGTGATGGATGATCCTGGACTAAAATTAATAGTATGGACATATTATTTGTTTAAAAATGTGTACACTTTTGCGTACATATCAGCAAGGACCTACCTGTAAATATTGAAGACTTATATTTCTGTCTTTGCCCATCGTTTTGATCTGATTTAGTCAAAATTAGCGAGGATTGACGAAAATAATCGAAACCACCAAACCACAGGTTTATCACTTTTCAGACCCAATGAGAAATTTCAAACTCAGATACGGTAGAGAAACGATAATGAAAATGTCATATCTGATCAAACAATTGAATACTTTTGAACTATATTTTTGGACTCTTTTAAAGTTGAGAAGTGTAGCGATTGATAATATTATGTTATTTATAGATTTCTGATGTTTCTTCATGACTATCAGCCTTGTTCAGACTGAAATCTAGAACTCATCGAAATCTTCGGGTTCGACTATGAAGGAAATCTTATTCTTTAATGTTTTACATTGATAAATGGATTTAATGAACTTTTTATAATTTGGAAAAATATTTTCAGCTTTCCATTCCGGATCTTCGTTTCTGTGTGACACCGCAAGATTGCATTCTCGTTCCGCTTTGGCACCGGCGATTTCAAGTTTAGTTTGCAAGCGACCACCGACCCGAAAGGAGGAACCACCCTCATCCGTTCGGAAATTCGCGAGTGTTTAAGAAATTTCGTCCACTGGGAATAACAACAGTTAGCCTCCTGATGATGAGTTGGCGAAATTGAATGACTCTTCGAAAAACAAAAAGGTAGGTCGGCTCTTGAACAGACATTAAAAAAGTGCACCAAAAATATTTTCATAGTTTTTCTCATAAGATTTTATTTAAAAAAAATCGCTTACATTCGTATAAAAAGAAAAATCAGAGTAAAATAAAAATAAGAATGTACATTTCTCGAAAATCATATAGAGGCGTAATGGCTTACCTCTTTTCTAAAAATGAAGCAGTGACAAGGACTGTAGCAATAATTTACACTTTATTTCCATTATTACGCTTACAGCTTTATTTTTTAAAGTTTTTAACGAGAATTTGTTCCCATCAAAATGTTTATTCGGTCTGTTATAAAACTCTTTTATATTTATGATAATAACTACGCAAAAAATTAATCTTTAAAGCATACAAATTTTAAAATACAAAACATGTTCTCACCTGTGGTAGAAGGGTAGTAATCTTTCTTTTTTTCCCCCAGCACCGAAGTTGCTGTCAAGATAAGACAGATAGGGCTGTTTAAAAAGTTTCTTTATATTATCTAATCAGCTCAACTTGTTGAGACTCGGAATAACACAAATTAATATATTTTTTAAATAAAAAATGTATTTATAAATAAATAAATTCTATTCATTTTAAAAACTTGCAGCCAAAAGTTTAAAAAATGTATTTGTTAGTAACCTGTTGTTTCAAAATTTGTTGTAGTCGTGAGGAGCGGTCAAGAATGAGGTAGTTCAGAAGAACACTTTTCAGTTTTTTTCCGACGTTTCGACCTTTATTCGGGTCATCTTCAGGGCTTGGATAAATTACAAAACATATGCCGATTGGAAAAAATAAAATACAGATTCACCTAAATATAAATTTTGCTTAATTTAATTAATGGTGTGTGTGCCTCCGTTAATTAAGTGTTAATTACAGAACAGATGCATGCAAACTCAGCCGTATCTAACCCAACATCGTAAAGCCAATAAACTATTCAACTTTATTTTTATATTTCCCTTTCCTTCGTTGTCGACTTTGATAAATTAACTTCCTTTTCAATATTGAATAACCCCGAATCACAAATCCATTGCAGAAAATCCCCATTCTCGACTTCCTTTTTTTCGAAGTAAATAAAACCGCCTATGATCAAAGAAAATTTCCAAGATTTTTCGAGAGGGACTCCATAAATCCCTCTCAATATCCTCTCAATTCCCTGTCACAATAATATAAAAACAGCAGAATACAAATTTTCACCTTTCACAAAACTTTCTCACAGAATCAACATAACACAAGAATAGTACCACAGCTTATGTGAATGTGAAATACTTGGTTCAAAATTTATACTTACATCTTAAATTGTATTTTTTTCAATCGACATATGTTTTGTAATTTACCCAGTCTCGAAAGATGACCCGAATAAAGGTCGAAACGTCTGCAAAAATAAAATAAAAACGGTGTTTTTGTAAATTACCTCATTCTTGACCGCTCCTCAAGATTTCAACAAATTATTTGAAAAAAAAAAATATATATATATATATACATATAAAATTCGTTATATTTTGCCCTTACTCACACAAATACACCAAAATACATAAGATATCGTACTGAAGAATACATTAATTTTCTATTCCTAAGTACGGGCTGAAATGGCACAATGATAGACTTTATCAAAAAATTGGACAATTGTATAATTAAAGGTATAATTATTTTAGTCGTAAGACCCTACAATTATTTCTAATTAAAAAAATAAGAATGGTAAATAATAATATCAATAAACTGTATGGGCAATTATTGTTAAACATACGTTTTTTGTTACCAAGTTTTTTAAGGTTAATATTTATTTCTAAGCCCCTTTTTCAACGATTCTAACGTATAAACGAAAAGATTATAATAAAAGGGTTCGAACTCCATTGTATTGTACCACTTTTTAAGGGACGTTGAAAAAAGTCTTATGTGCCAACCTTTGATATGCTTCATATCAAATAATAATGTTAAGCAGGACGTACTGAATCGATCCAGAAATACCTGGTGGAAAATTTCAAATAAACACACCAACAAAATGGGGGGGGAAATGTTTGTTTTGCCAAATGGGTTTTATTAAAAAGTTATTTGTTTTAACAAAAAAATGCAATATTGAGTAAAATATGAAAAAAAAACATATTCCTGGTAATATAATACATGTTGATTGGCTATCTCAAAAGCAACGAATTGTTAAAAACATGAGTTTCATCAATATGTAAATCATTGTGAAAATATATAAAACCAAAAATAAGGTAAAGTAATGTTGTTTGTAAGAAAGTGTTTTACTTTGGGATAGAATTTATTGTACTTCGTTTACTTCTTTTCGTCTTTAGAGACCAATAAGACCTTTAAGAACGAAAGGTTTCTTTGACATTTGTTATCTTACAAGGATAATGAAAAAGAAACGTTTATTTTTTTGCTAATCGAAATCAGATAAACGAATACAACTTACAATTAGTATAAACATCTGTTTGAATTTTCCACCCTTAACGACTACAGTAGAGCAGCTTATTTTAATAAATAAAAATACCTCTAATGATTATGGCTCAATAAAATAAAACGTAAAAGAGACAGAATGTATATTAATCAGTAAAATCAAAATTACGGACAATTTTTGTAAAAATACCTCAGCGAAGAATCCGATACGATTATGTACTTTATTGCCGTGTTGGGTTATGTGCCCTTTATCAACCGCCGTACATCTAATGATCATAAAATAAACAGCCGGGCGGAGTTTGGCAGATTACCAAATCGTTGCCGCATTTTATGAAGGAGCCATGTTTTTCCGGAGATAGCCATGAGCAAAATAATCCCACTTGATAGATATTTGAATATTCATTCTTGATTATTTTAAGATTGTTAAGTCCTGACTTAATACTACTGATTATTATCTTTTAATATTTTACGTTAAAGTATACACTGCTAGTTTAGGTGTAATGCAATAGCGGGTAATTGACATGTTTAGAAGATAAAAAACATAAAAAATAGGATTTTTATACCGGTAGGAGGGTTTAATAAATACAGTACGGCTAAGATCATGAAATCCAACGCATTTACTTAACCACTATGATATAAAAACCCTGTAAATATTAATTATATTTTCAAAGAAAAAACAATTCTAAGCCTTTTCTTAAAATATACTACTTAAGAAATACGGTTAATTCTAGTAAATCATATAAATGCGGAATCTATTCTTTTGTTGAATAATACAACATAAAAATGCTTCTACTTGTGTTTTATCTGGCATATTTCGTTAGCAAGAGAGGTTTTTAATTATACCGTCATACAATCAAAACGAACAGTCACGGAAATATTTTACGTAGAACAATCAATATTTTTTTAATAAATCTATCGATAACTAATTATTTTCACTATACTATTTTGTTGTACTACGAGATAAGTTCCATGCAAATGTGCGTGTTCTTCTTTACTCAATCACGCCAAACTATTTAAAATTCTGTTAAAAATTTTCCCCTAGATTCTTTCTATTAAAAAAATGTTTGTTTTAAAATTAAAAAACAATTGTCAACGAATCTAGTTATAAATGGTTATTCGAAGATCGTGAGATGCGGTCTTGTGTGACGTAGGTTTAGAAAAACATTTTCTTTATCGTGCTAACGTTTCGATTTTTTATTGAGATCATCTTCAGGGCCTGGGATTTATAAACATTGTTTAAATTTTACAAATACACGTAGGATGTGGAAAAAAAGAATTTATACAATGTTAGAAAATTTTAGATTGAAAAAAAGTTAATTTATACAATGCTGGAAAAGTTTAGATTTAAAAAAATTCTAGTATTGTATAAATTCATTTTTATTAGATCTAAAATTTTCTAGCATTGTATAATTTTTCTTTTAATCTAAAATTTTCTAGCATTGTATAAATTCATTTTTTTCATATCCAGCACGCATTTGTAAAATTTAAAAATGTTTATAAATCCCAGGCCCTGAAGAAGATCTCAATAATGAACGAAACGTTGGCATGATAAAGAAAATGTTTTTCTAAAACCTACGTCACACCAGACCGCATCTTACGATTTCTGAATAATCATAGACTAAAGGTAATTAAAAGGTAGTTTAAACACCACACATTTCTAATTATAAACATGTTTTCAGCTATGGACAACGTATTTATAAAAAAAAACCGAACTTTTATGACGCCAGTATAATTTTTTTAAGCTGAAGAGAATGTGATAAATAGAAACAAATAGATCATTCCGATTTATTGCATTTTGCAAATTAGCAATATATCGTTGAGTTAGTATCGGTCTTCGATGATAAATCACAAAGATGGGAGATCGGAGATGAAGGTTAAAAAACCAACTTGTTTTCTAATGCCGAGCTTTCGGCTGTATTTAAGGTCTTCCTCAGGACTCTTTTTAATTAGGAACTATTTTTAAATACATGTTTCATATATAAAAATTATAAATATTATTAAACTAACTTACTTGAATACTCTAAAAAAATTCGTGATTAGTCCGGACATGTGAACCTAATGGAAGGGGACATCTCAACCCAGCCCAACGGGAGAGATAACCATGTGTCATCTATCCATCAATGATGCCAATGGCTCATAAAATGTCATTAAGGGTCTTTCTTTCTGTCTTTATTTTAGATTATCATAGCAAAGTACACAACTAACAATTTCCAATAGGACAATTAGTATTTTTATAAATAATAATACTAAATACATTACAACTAATAATAAATACATAATACAGCATAACAACAACAAGCAACAATAACTATTTAGTTAATAATAGAAGGACCGGGGAGGGCTCAGCCTTCCTCGTATGTACCGACTCTCTGAGCGCTGTCTGGGCTATACGCGACAGGTTCTCTGTGGACCCTCTCGTCGTGCTCTTGTTAGAGAAATACGCGGAGCTGGAGCCTCTCGGAAAAATGGTGGTTGTTGTCTGGATTCCCGGACACGTCGGCCTGGAGGGTAACTAACGTGCGGACGAGGCGGCGAAAGCCGGTACGTCCCACCCTCCAGATCGGGCCATCGCGATCAGGCCCCCTGATGCTAAACACGCAGTT